GAGAACTACTGTGTTAGCCTTACATTGGCAAAATTATGGTTCAAAGAGAACCCTTTTTAGTACAAGATGTGAATGTATTTTCTTAATTTCGAGTTGACTGTTAAGTATGTGTTTTTTAGAGTTGTTGTTGAGTCCCATGCATTCATGTATATCGGAGATAGGTAGAACTTTGGTTCGACGAGGTCACAATTTATAGAGAACCAATGACAGTCTCATGTTCAGAGAAAACATTGTATTCTAGTGAGGAACCAGAGACGTGGATGATTGAGTAAATACCGCTGACATCCAAATCTTGGTACCACATGCATATTGGAGGAGGAGTGCATTACATCATACATTTGTGTTGTAATTGTTATTTTTGTCGGTGCTCTAATCTGTAACACTAGGTTAGGATATTTTAATCGATGTTTTAGAGTTGTTGGATTAATTTAATTAATCGAGTGTTATTTTATTGAGATGTTATAAAGCATGTTGAAGTTGAGTTCAGGCTGCTATATTATATTTTACTTGAAAGAGTGTTGTTTGTCGAGTATGTGTAACACCTGTCTTTAAGCAAATAATTGTTTATCTTTTATGAATTAAGAGTTTTTGGGGATATGATGTTACAAAAATTGTATTACTAAAAAATATTTAAGAAATAAGAATTGGAAGTTTTATTCAAGTCTTAAATCAAAAGATGAGAACCTTCATGAATTTTAGAAAAAATAAAGAAAGAAGGAAATTGTAGAAAAGTTGAACGATCCAGTTCAACTACTCAAAGATGAAGGAATCCAAACTGAAGAATCATCAATTTCACCCTACTCGTATCATACTACTCTTGTGAAATTCTTCGAAAGAATATACTCAGTAGTTGAAAGATCCTCATGAAATTCAACATCAAATGAAATACCCTCTTGTTCAAAGAATGAAAAAAAATATAAACAAGTTTTTTTAACACTCAAACAAAGAAGAGGAGAAGAGACATCAACCTCGAGAAGAAATGTGAAAGAACCCTCTTCCAACGAAGAAGAAGAAATTTTCTTAAATGCATCCTATAAGGGAGATATTATTCCATGTATCAAACCATCTTACGCTCAACTATTTAGAAAGTGTGATCAATTAGAGAAAGAAAACGCTAGATTAAGAGAGCGTACCTTAGGTCTTAAGAAATCTCTGACATATCTTAAAGAAATCAACAATTCTTTCAAAATACTGATAACCATGCTTAAAAGTTCAAAAGAAAAATGTAAGAAATGTGACTCCCTTATAAAAGAAGTACTTGATCTACGTGAAATCCTAGATAAGTTTACCCAAGGAAAAAAGAATTATGACCTAATTTTATCTAGTCAAATATCCTACATAAAGAAAAAGGTTCTAGAAATTAATAATGAAAGAAAGACTAGAAAAGACATAGATCATAATGGAAAGAAGCGTCAAGTCCATAAGTGCACACACTGAGAATAGGTCACTTAGAAGTGTTTTATTTTGATAATTTGAAAAAATCTAAAGGTATCAACCTTAGATCTTCTATATCTAATGCACCTGGACCTAAGAAAATATGGGCAGCAAAGGTGAAACCTTAGTGTTTTGCAGGTATGCTTTGCAGCTTAGGGCTTTGAATATTATTAGTAAAAGTTGTGCAAAGCAAAAGTATACATCCCAAGTATATAATATTTAGGAAGTATATTATTTAATAATATCTCAAAGTATATGATCCTTAGTGGTTAGGTGAATGAATATGTCTGTAATTAACTTATTCATTTTGTGATTATACCATCTCTTGCATCCAACAATGTGTAGAGGAGGATACGCTATTTGGTGTCTTAAGAAATATTTATCATTATTTTAAAGTTGAAATAATTAGGAAAATATGATTAACCCCTTAAAATAATTATTCTTATTTCTTTCTCATCTAAATAAATTATTTTCTAACCCATAAAAATGAGTACTCTAGTATTTTCTAATAAAAGGGTGCAAAAATGACAAAAAGGGTGCTGAAAACTCTAAAATCCAACATGAGGCCCAACATACACCAAGGAGGTTGAGCTACTGTTGGCTAAAAAAGAGCCAACTGAAAGCATCGACAGCGAAAGGGTCGACTTTGACAGGAGGTAGGAAGAAAAAGCCCCTAACCGACAGTGTTCTTTTGTGGAAGGAAGCATTTGGAAAATACTGGCAACAAAGTGTCGAAATCAACAAGTCTAAAAGGGACGCAGCCTAAGTCGACGTTCCAAGGGAAATTGCGTGATCGACAGGGACATAGGTTGGTCGACCAAAACAATAAAGGCACACCCGACAAAGGAGTCTTGTTGCCTGGCGGGAAATAAATTTGACAAAAGGAACACGGGGGAAGTTACAAAAGTAGTGGTCTTACACGTGGCGGCTCCTGAAAAGACCTGACGATTATTTTATTTGCCTATATAAAGCAAAGTCTGGTTTGAAGGAAATGACATCTTTTGTCAACATTTCAAGAAAAACACTCTGAGTACCACACACTAAGATAAAAGAGTTCCCTTTTTATTACAAAATGTATGAATACGCTCATTTGTAATTTTCTTTTTTACATTGAATTTACCAAGCATTTATGTTATGAAAACAATGCCTTTACTTTTATGTCAATTTTTCAGTACTTCTTTGTTTTATTAAAAGCATCGTTGTCTTTACTTGTCTAAATTTCATCATATACACTCTCAAAAACAAACAATTGTCGAGTGCACCATAAATCCTAAGTAACCAACTCACCCAGAACCAGAGTCCTGGGACTAGTTTGGTCGGTCCCGCAAGCAAACCCGCGTCGGGAGGTCAGAGGTTGTCCGCGCGAAATAGGTATTCTCTTCTCACTCTTTTACGTTGCATATTTTCTATTCAAACCTTGTCTGTGAGATTGTTCTTGTAAAAACATCTTGAATCCAAAAAGATTGAGCTTCACCTCCAACCCTTTTATTGATGATTTCACCACTAGACAACAAGAATCAAGTTTATTTCACTACTTTTTTTAATCGAACCCTTCTAAGATTTCATACCCTTATCTATAAGATTTCAAAGAATGAAAATTCTTCAAAACCTTTGAACAACTCATTCTTTCCACCTTTCTCTTGTGAAGATGTTCTTCTCAAACCTTCATCTCGCTGATGGAATACTTCAAAGCGAAGTAAGAAAACTTAGGATAAGTCTCTCGGTAGAAGAATTTAGAGAAATGCTCAATCTCTCTCATGAAGATAGAATCATTGAGCTTAGAGATAAAGCCAACAGATGCAACTACATCATTGCTGCATCATCTCTTATGAAAGAACCATCACCATGTATACCTTACCCATTTACTGCTGGATACATCCATCTTGAAAGTCAAATGATTCATTATGTAATCAATCACATCCTTTTTCCATAAAATGCAACTCCAATCTATAAACTCAAATTGATGTAAAAACACTATGGTTGATAGAAAACAGAGTCGAGGTAAACTAGACACAGCAAATACAAGGATATTTAAGAACAAGAACAAAACAAAAACTCGTCTTTCTTTTTCTAAGACAACCCATATGAGTTGAAGGGATGTGTCACTACGACACTAAAAACAAATACAAGGACATTTAAGAACAAGAACAAAACAAAAGCTCGTCTTTCTTTGTCTAGGACAACCCATATGAGTTGAAGGATTGTGTCACTACAACACTAAAAACGCTTCTTTGTGTAGGACAACCCATATGAGTTGAAAGATTGTGTCACTACAACACTAAAAACGCTTCCAATAAAGATGGACGCTTAGAACATGATAAAAACACTTCCAATAAAGAAGATGAACGGTTAGAACATGATAGGACTCCATCCTTTCAATTGATTTGAAATTTAAGTTCAGATTCATTTTGGTACCCTTTCCATTTGTTCAAATTCTTTTTATTTATTTTTAATTAAATTTATTATTTGTATTTTAAATTTTTTTAAAGTGTTAATTAAACTATAATAAATGCCATCTCATTAATGTGTTTTCCATGTCATTAAAATATTTTGCATATCCATTATTTTATACTTTCACCTAATAATGGACATTTGTTTGTTTGGAAAAAAATAAAATAAAAATTAATTGTAAAATATAAATTTTTAAAAAATCACTTAAATTTAAAACTATTTCAAATAGTTTTTCAAAAAGTAATTTTTAAAATGTTTTTAAAAAATTGTAATTTAAACTGTTTTCATCTTCAATAATTTATAATTATATTATAAAAATCAGTGTTTCAATTTATAAAAAAAACAAATTAAAAAAATATATTATAAAATTTATTTTTACAAAAATCATTTTAAAATACTTTTAAAAAAATCGACCACTACTTGTCTACCACAGCTAATTTAGCGTGCTTTTACACGGAGAGCAAATAGGAAAATGGGGTGTAAACAGCAAAAAAAAAAAAAAAACGACCACTACTTGTCTACCACAGTTAAGTTTATGTGCTTCTTCTACAAGAGCAAATAGAAATTGGGGTGTAAACGAAAAAAAAAAAAAAAAAAAAAACCGAACACTAATTGACTAGCATAGTAAATTTAACGTGGCTCTACACGAATAGCAAATAGAAAATCCCTTTACCAAAATCACGATATTTATTAACTGATAATACAAACATAGCAAAATCAAAAAGTAATAATACAACCAGGAAATCGGAAAAGTGATACAACCAGTTATTACCAGGATCACCAAATAACACACCATAAAGCAGCCGAATCTACAACACAAGGCTGCACCTAAAATAACTCGTGAAGGGGGTCTCTACACTCCTTGAACTCATCAGTTCATCATCTCAGTCCTGTAAGAACCCTTCCTTTGGCAGGAAAATTTTACCTTTATCTTTCCTATAGCAACAGATAATTTACATGCCAGGTACAAATATTTGAATTTGAAACCCAGACGGACTATAAATCTCTATGCTTGAGTGTTTTGCCTCTGTACAAGCAACATCAACTATATTTGTGCAGGGTGCAACAACTTCACGCTTACCTTGAAAAGTGAATCTGAGCAGAAAAACTTAAGCTCATCCAAAAGGATTACCCCCTGCAGGGAAGGGCTTTGAGGCAGCAGAGGCTGGCAACCTACCATGCAGCTGCTGATCTATATTAGAGAATCCAAAAGGAGCTCCCTCGGTACCAAAACTCCCAATTCCTTGATGACTACACAATCAGTTAAATGTCAAGATAAGGTAATGCGAGCCATAACCAATAATTATCAAATCCATGCATAAGGTGATAACTATAATTATCAACTCTTAGTAATCACAACTAACCCACTCAAGGAACAACACTGAATCTATGAAATTGAGGTGCTCGAATTGTATGTTTATTAGGAATAACAGGGGTTTACTTTGTAACTTAATTTGTGTAGTATCATGTCAACAAGGGAATGACCGGAACCAAAAGACGAGTTTCTGTTTTTCAAGAGAAAACAAAATCTAACCTAAAATAGGCTATGCAAATTCTTAGAATTGTAATTGGATCTAACTCAACCTTACAAAACCAACTTGTAAGGTGAGGATTGGCCCACACATATAGACACATGTTCAAACCATATATTGTTAGATGCGAGACTCTTAACACACTCTCACACCCAAGACTGAACATCTGGAATGTGGACATAGTTGGTGGGTTGCCCGATAGCGGAAACCCAATAGTAGGTGGCCCAACGGATCTTAAACAAGGTTTTGATATCATCTTAAGAATTGTGGTTGGATCTAACTCAATCTTACAAAACCGACTTGTAAGGAGAGGATTGCCCCACTTAGTAACATTTATTGAGATCGTATATTTTTCAATGTGGGACTTTCAACACAAATAGTAAATATTATTAGAACTGAGAAATAGTTACCTTGGCATTGTCACGTTAGTGGCCATTTGTTGTTCCATGTATGCCCCTGAAATTTTACATGGTTAATGATACAGATAGAGAAAATAGCATAAGCAAGAAAATAATTGATTGAGGAAATGAGAAGGTATACTCGGTCTCATTGCCGGGGTAAGAGTGTGTGCTTGTAGAGGCGGCATTGGTGCATATGATAATGAGGATGGTGGATTCCAGGCAAGAGACTGATTAGCCATGTTTGAAGGGTGCATTGTAGCTGAAGGTATTACACTAGGCAGAGCACCTTGCAAAGATGACATAGAAGGGAACTGCACTCAAGGAACATCAATCATAAAACATCGATCAAAATGTGCATAAAATGATAGAACATAGAACAATGGAGAAGATTATGCAATTATATATTTTCCTAACATAAATTGACAGGCAATAGTAAGTATGAATTAATTGATAAATTGACATTTACATAATATAGAGTCAGCATGCCTTATTTCAATACTCCAGCTTTTTCAATGCCAGATGATAAAGAAACCAAATAAATTTATACCAGCGAATGACTCTATGAAAAATGCAAACTTCAGAAATTAATGTCCATTACAATAATTAATGAAGAAAAAAACTAAAGTTAATGACTCAACAGGCGACTAGAATAAAACATGCATTTATCTTCCACCAATGGCTGTAAAGCACACCATTCACTTTGGAAGAACCAAATCACCAATCAATATTATTTATTAATGATTAAATGAAGATACACACAACCTAAATAAAAGAGGAAACGTGCATACACTTTCACCAGGAGTACTACACACACTAGTACACCAATTAAAGTTACTTACTGTTGGGGCTTGAACCGGAGTTGGTTGATTGACCACATCAAATGGATTTGTAGATTTTGATGGTTGTGGGAAACTCGGTATGGACTGTAACAGTGGAAAAAATTTATGAGAAAATGCATCATACTATGGTACTAGCCTGTAGCCACAGATTTAATTTCTAAAGTTGTAGGTTAATGATTTGGAATTTAACATTACCATCACATTATTATATTGAACTGAGACACCCATGCCAGGTGGTGCACCCATTTGCCAGCCTGGGACTGGAGCAGGGAAGGGTGAATATTTTACAGTGAATAGATCCTGCAAAAGTCAAGTAAATACTAAGATAAATACTAGACATCTACAAGCAAGCACACAATATAGATGTTTTATGAAGTTAAATAAGGAGTCAATAATACCTCAGGAAGTTCATTTCTTCCACTTGGTTTTATGTCTACAGTATAAGTTTGTGAAGCAACACTATATTTTTCCTCATTGACAACCTTTGACGCATGTGGCACTAAGGTGCTTGGATGCCCCTGTGTCATGGGTACAGAAGATGTATTCCAGGGCTGAGTGATATTTCTATGAAAGGGTAAATGAACATCACATCTGAATTAACTGATAAAACATTTGATGCACCTACTTAATAAGACAAACCTGATAATTGAAAGCTCCATTTACTGGTGGGGTAGATTGTTGAATAGTAGGCTGACCAACAGTAGATGTGTACAAAGGTTGCGGTTGCTGATACTGCAAACTATGCCACTGGCCTGCATCATTGAAGGGTGGTGAGGTTGTCAATCCAGAAGATGTTAATGAAGCAACACTGGCTGGGAAAGTTGTGAAGCTGCTCGCAGCTGGAGCTGATCCTGCCAAAGGCCCTGCAGGTGAAACAGATAAAGAGTCAGCCATTGTAATGCCAATGCTCAAAGGAATAGCTACTGCAAGACAGTGACCACCTTGGGCTCCGGAAAGGTGAGCAGGTAAGGATGATGGAACAGACAACTGGGACAGCATAGATTCAAGCGGATTTACATTTGAAAGACCCTGAGATGCTTTTACCACAGGTGCAACATCAAAGGAGGCCCAATTGCTATCCCCAGAATTTGTTGGATTCGCAAGTTGAGCCACGGTAGTTGGTGTGGCTTGAGGAATTGCTGGAGCAGTAGGTGGTTCAGGAATATCATCAAAATCAATAAGGCTCCGGATAGTCTCAAGCTTAACTTCTGTTTGGGTTCCATTACTGGATGCCAAGCTACTGGAAGACGCCGTTCTCTGCAATTATAGAAGTAAAGTATGGGAAAATAGTTTTGAACAGAAAATCAATTCTGGGAATCTTGGAAAGAACTGCAACATGAAAAGAAAAAAAAAACTTCTTCCCACTTGGTGGGTGGGACACAATAATGATTCTACATAAATCATGTCTAATAACAGAAACGAAAGGTTGTCCCTTGAAAAAACTTCACAGTGCAGAAAGTAATACGGAGAAAAATTAACGAAACTGCCATGTAAATACTGAGCCACATTATTAAGAACATCAGTGATATAGTCTTACCTGTGTGAGTCCTGAGCCATTAGCAGCCTGTCCACTGTTTGCTTTGGGAGGTTCACTAATTCGTAGAGGTACTACATTTTCTCCCAAAATTTCTCTAACAGGTCGGACAACAGGTAGTGGGCTTGAAGAACCCGGGTCTTTGGCTCGCTCAGGAGATTGACTTTCCATCTTATTACCTCCGTCGGATATTCTACGATCTTCAAATTTCCTTCCATCCCCAAACCTATCTTCCCGACGCCAATCGTTGATTATTGGAGGGCGACCAGGGCTTCTTTTATCATTGGCATAATGCCTTTCTTGATCATAGCCAGGACTTCTTCCACCCGGACTAGACCTGTCACTGTAACGACGTTCATATGTGTCCTCATACGGAGGGCTTTTACGTCCTCCCTGATACGTCTCCGTTCTCCTGTTTTCATAGGAATCATCTTTGTCACCCTGTATGATATTCAGCACAAGAAAATGAGATTTATCCAATACATTTAAGCAAATTTAAAGCAAAAGCTATGTGTGTACTAATCTAGGGGTGTGTTTGGATTGACTTATGAACAACTTATTTGAGCTTATCACCAATAGTCACATGTATGAATGTTTGGGATAGCTTATATAGTCTCCAAGCTACTTTTGGCTTATTTAAATACGCTCTCAAGGATAGATTATACCTTATATAAAAACAATTTAACCACGTTTCCTCTTTGATTATAGAAATAGCTTATAGACAATTACTTAAATAATAAACCCTTGTTTGATATGTGCTTATTCAATTAACACTTTATTAAGCCACTTGTTCATACACACCCTAAATCCAAAAAGCATTAGCACATCTTGCACAACACATTGGCATGAATCCCAAATGCAAATAATATTATTTCTTACTACAATATGGCTACCAACAACACAGCAGGGCAGGACTAATTTTCTTTTTTCAGAAACAATTTTGGCCTGTTTTAAACTTTAAGTAGTTCGTAGTAGTAACAGACAATAAGATAGGTGTGTTTTTGTCCATTATCAGTTTTATTCCCCCCAACTTTTTCATTTCCTTTCAGCATATGACATAAATCTAGATTTTCACCTTTCCCCAATTTTCTTTTTAAAACATGTCTAGATATTGTAATTATAATACAAATGATATTATGAATCTTTTTTTCTTAAACTTGCAACATACACATTGCACACACATTGAGTCCTACAAATTCTAAAGTTTAGTGTGTAAACGTTGTGTTTTATGGCTCCTAGATTAAAATTGAACATGTGAGAGTACATAGTATTTGCTTAAAATAAAGTACATTCTATTACAGTGACAGCAGACACTTTACAACCTGTGCTCTCGGAGGTTTGTCATAGGACTTCTCGCCAGTGAATCTCTTATCTACGTAAACATGCTTGATGAAGTCCCGAAGCCTGTCAACATTACTGGCAGCAAACATACAATCAGAGTAATGCACCCTAAAAAAATTTATAGATGTACCATAGAATTATAAAAATAAAAAAATAACAAAAAACAAAACTTACAAGCAAATACTTACTTGCTATCAGGTAAAGAATGAGTTTGCGGATCCCATTCTTTAAAAAATATTTCTTTTGCAAGCTGAAAGTATTAGATAGAATGAAAATCAATTTATATAAATATGTAAAAATAAAGAAACGGAAGAAATCTAGCACAAATTTTAGCACAGATAAGAATTGGTACCTGATTTCCTCCTTCTTGAAGTGCACTAACTTCTTGTGCAGTAAATTTAGCCATGGAAACTGATTTTACTCTATGAGTAAATTCTCGGCTGGAGAATAGCTTAAATATTTTAGAAACGGGAAACTTTATTGTCTTCTCCAGTACAACAGGATATATTGGCAAAGAAAAAACAGATTTATCGTACAATTTATGAACACCAATCCATCAAAAACAATACTCATAGTACAAGAAAAATATAATTAGTATATAGATATTTCAAGCTTCATTGTTAGTGAAGTAGAAGTTCAAGTGAAAAATATAAGGAATTCCTGTAAAGAAAGGCAACGGGTAAAACCGGAGTTCATCACAATGAATCGTACTAGTCATCTTAAAAAATATCTATACAACAATCATCAGCCTTTACATTTTCACAACAGTAGAGTTCGTAAGTAAAAAGATTGCATGTACTTACTGTATTCCACTACAGCTTGTGCAAACAAACGTCCAGAAATTTGTGCATACATATTGCGGTCCCTAACAAGAGAGTAAAAAAAGTTTATTGTAACAGACTAGTCTCAGTATCAAATTCTAACATTTCCTAGCTCTGTTCAGAGAACTCAATCAGAACAGCACTCTAAAAAGCTGGTAAAGAATAAAGATTACCAACACTTAAATCAAAGTCTATAACATGAGCATAAATATGCACATCATAAGCATTCTATCTCATATTCAGATTCATCTTTTCGTTCAAGGTGTCTGTTTTAGCATGGAATCTAGAGGAGACTAATTAACTAGGGCAGGGACTGCTAGCACCCCTGTGATTTTAATAGTACATAATCATGACATAAATAAAATTCTCAGAATATTTGTTTCCTGCCTAATAGTAAAAAAGTCCAAAATTAAAAACACTACTAACAGAGTGAAGTCTCACTTGAACTTATTGCAATATCTAACTCTGCTCTAATAAAAGATTCAATGTTGGTTGACACAAGCTATACACAGGTGAAGTCATATGATTTGTTCCACCCACTATAGTATATTCAAATATTAAGGAAAGATGTTGCATGCCAAAGAATTCAATGACTTCGTCCCTGCAACGAAGTCCATTTATCCGGACATCTAGGTTCGACTAAGTAGCAATCCCTTTAAAGTTACTTTAACTCATCGCAGAGTAAGATAAATCATTATCATTGAGAGATTACTACTTCAGCATGTGATTATAATGTTCCGCACTTTAACTGCATTTTTGACGAGGCGTCGTAAAGTATGTTCAATGGCACAAACTAAAGAGTAAGAAATTTTATTTGCTCGAAGAACAGAAAAAAGATCCTACCAAGCTGTTGCAATTAATGCATCTTCGATTCGGTGTAAGTTTGAGGAGACCTCGAATAATTCGTTCATTTTTCTCATCTTCCTTTATTCGACTCGTCATCTCCGCTTCTGTTAAACACATCGCAACACATTAATATCAAAAAAACAATCCAATCAAGCAATTCACAAAAGATTATCAAAACTTCTACCAAACCACTCCAAAAGTTACAAAGAAATGAACTGGTAGAGAGACAAAAGTGATTTTGAAGACTTAAATTTAAGTGTTGGTATGTAAATTGTAATGGAGTTCTTGATTAGAATTGATTTCGCTTCTAAAATTCTACAAAGCACGGACATCCCAAACACGACATTGATACGGCGACATGCCTTTTAACTAAAATCAATTAATTGTAATCACAAGTGTCCGCACATGTATCCAATACAAACATGCCTTTTTCAGAGGTGTTTGTGCTACATAGCTAAAATTCATTCTTACTTAACACTAGAATGTGTAGTTTTTATCATCAATCGTGACTTTTCAATCAAATCACTTTGGCAAGAACATATCCAAAACAATCAGTTTATATTAAACTCACTTTTAACTAAAATCAATAAAGTCAAAACCAATTTTCTCTGCTTAAAACCAATTTTCGCTACTTAACTAGGTAAAACTTCTCATACTTACATCCTATAACATGATCATCCACGCAATGCACCTAGATACTAAAATTCTCCTCAAAAAATAATCAGGAACAATCAATTTTGAAAACAAATTTTCGCAGCAACAAACAGCACGCAAATCGAATGCAAATACACCAGATCTGAGAATCGAAGACTAGCCTAAGAACTTAGAAGATGATGAATGCGTAGAGTAATACTCTGAAACTCGAAATTGAAATGAAACCCTAAAAGTTTATAAAAGTTGACGACAGAGTGAAAAAAAAGTGAAATGAGAAGTGCCTGATTTTGCAGGAGATGAAGAAGCAGTTAAGCAGCTTTTTTTTAAAGCTGACGATGACGGTCAATGAGAAAGATCCAGCAGTATAACAACCAGAGAGAGGAAGTGATTTTCTGAATTGGTAAATTACGGCTTTGTACAGCTCAGAATGAGGTTTTAGCCAAACACCGGCTAAAGAAAATGGAAAGAAATAGCAAAGAAAGGGAAAGAAGAAAGATCTTTATTTGAAATAATAAGAAATATTTTTACGGTTAATTAGTATTTCATAATAAAATTCAATTTAATAAAAAAATTAATTTGATTTGAGATCGAGTTCAATTTTAACATCAAAGATTCTAATTTTTTATTGCAATTATAAAAATCGAATCATTATTTTTTCTATAAATTCAGCATGAATTAACATTAAATTAATACAAAAATATTATTTTTAATATAGATATAATTATCGTCAAAAAGTATATATAACTAAATTATTTATTATTATTGTTATATTTTATTGTGGTCATATATGACGACTCATGTTATACTATTATTATATGGCATGCTTGACCAAAGCAATGAGTATGACCATTACATTCTTCAAAATAATAAAGCGGCATCTAGATAAAGAAAATATTAGAACAATGTTGAGACAGATTTAGGTTGGTTTCTTTTTCATTTGTTTTTTTTATAACTTTAGTTGTTTTCTTTTGAAAAATAATTATTATCTTAGATTTGAATAATTAAATTTTAAAACTCGATTTTAATTTTTGTTTTAGAAAAAAAAAATTTAAAAAAATTTGTAATTCGGTTCGACAATTAATTTGTTGAATTTAGTTCATGAACTTAGTGAACTGAATATGAGTGAAAAATTAGATTTATTAATTAAATGAGTTGAATTTTAATTATATATAATTTAACTTGTTAGATTTATTAGTCAACTCGATTATATATGAGAATGATTATATTATCTTTAAAAGTAGATTCAAAATTTTAATATAAATTTTAATCTTACAGTTTTAATTGATAACTTATATTTTCAAGTGAATAAAATATTTTTAAAAATTATTATATAAACAAAATTAACATTGTATAAAATAATTAATTTTTAAATTAATAAATTTTTTTTAAAAAGTTAAATTTTAATTTAATAATTTTTATTTTTATTTTAATACTTCCTTTTTAAATTGATATTAAGTTAAATTATAAAACATATAGAAAAATAGACTTTAAAAAATAGCTTTTAAATTTGTGAATCAAATAAATTGAATCAAACGAGATGAATCTAACGAGTCGAACTGAATTGCTTATGAACTTTATAACGAGTCGAACCGAATTGTTCATAAGCTTTATAACAAGTCGAGTTTGAGCTTAAAAAAAAGTTCGTGTCGAATTCGAACAGAAATCTGAACTGAACTGAAACAAGTTCGACTCGACTTGACTCATTTTCAACCTTATTTTTATAAGTGAATAATTTAAATTAAAAAAGTTAACTGTATTATTGAATTTATTGATAATAATTTATATATTTTAAATTTATTATTATAATATTTATTAATTTTATTACTAAAATAAATACACTTAGGTTTAGCGGAATGAAACATATTTGAACGGAGCATGATAAAAATGTCATTTTATTATTTGAATATTTTGTGATAGAATAAATCATTTTTTTCATTTTGATTAAATTGAAGGATATACATGATTAAGTGATATAATGAAATGGGATAGAATTTATCATGTTGGACTTTATTCAATCATTTCTTAACTAATCCAAACAATAAAATATAAGTTTTTATCATTTTATTCCATCAATTTTAAACATTTTCTTAAAATCAATGCATATATTTTTTGTGAATGCCAGTGATTATGAGATGATTCTGAAACTTAACATATCATACATTTCTAATTAAAAAATTACCATGCTAACATATGTTCTAAAGTTACAGGTTAATAATTAAATGTATAAACTTTTTTTTAGAAATTGTATATTATTTTAATTAAAATTTGGTAATTAATGTTTTCATTGTTTTTTTAACACAAAATTTTCATTTTTAAGTTTCTAACATGTATCTTTAAGGCACATGTTAGCCTACAATTAAAAAAATTATCATAAAATTGAATTTAGTCTAAAACAAAAAAAAAATTAAGTTATTAATTTTTCTTAGAAAATAAATTTTTATAAATAAAAAACAAAAAATTGATATTAAACTAAAATTAATAATTTTTTTTTATAAATTTAGAATATTTAAAAATAAAATTATCATTAAAATTTTCAAAAATATTATTTTTTTTAAGTATAGTATAATGATACTTTTGTTATTAACATGTAATATAACATAAATAGTTATTTAGGTTATCTAACATATATAATAAGATTTACTAACAGTTTCTTTATAAAAGGTTGGAATTAATCATTTTGTAATATCAATTTTTTAAAGTTATATAAGTTTATTTAATTACTTTTTAAAAAAATTGTAATTTTGTTTATTTAAAATTATAAAAATTAATTTTAAAATAAAATACTGATAATCTTTTTACATGTGATTATTTCTTCGTGTGTTACAAATTTATAAAATAATAATGTTATATTTCTTATCATGTGTGTATCAAATATATGATAAAGATAAGTGATTATCATGTTGTTGTTATATTCTATTTTTATTTATCTTTTCATCGTATTATATATCATTAGCACGACTTTGCCCATAACAGACCTTTAATTCTTGTGGCAAAATATTTATTAAAATTAAAAAATTGTAGCGTTAATCAAAATAATCAAGTGTTCTTAGAAATTTGATAGGCACACTATAAATAGGAATGCCCTCGGCCCAAGGCAACCAGACCCACGGTTTAGGATCTCAAAATTAGGAGAAAAGTTAAATATATATATATATATATATATATATATATATATATATATATATATATATATATATATATATATATATATATATATATATAAATAATAAGTCGCATATATGGTGTTTGTTTTTTATAAGCAACGATGCATTAAACAAGAGCGCAAGGGATACTCAATCAAAATATAAGAAAAGAAAATTATTTTAAACAACACAAAGGATTTGTCATCCAGTCTTCTTTAGAGAAAGAAATGATGCCCTTGAACCTAACCCCAAACATGTCCGAAGAGTAGACATCGACTTTACAACTAAAAAAATATTGTGAGATCCTTTCATACCTCTATTGAACAAAGTGTCATTTATAATTAACCAGATAGCCTTAACAACAGCTAACCAAATAAGGATTATAAATTTCTTTTTAGTTTTACCTCGTAAGGCCTGATTAAAAACAAATAAGTGATCTGCTATAACACCATCAACAAAAGGAACGGTGGGTAAGCAAATCCAATTACAAACAGAACTCCAAACCCATAGAGCGATCGAGCAAGCCAAAAAAAAGATGAGAATTGGATTCGGAAATATCAAAACATATCGGACAAACAAAGGAACGATGTCTTGAAATAACGCCTTTTTTCTCTAATATGTCTCTAGTCTGAAGTCGATAGAGAAGGAGACGCCACCCAAATATTTGAATGTTAGATGGGACATGTGTTCTCCATATGCAATCCAAAGCGAGCTTTAAGGATAAATTCAGAACGACCTCAAAATGAAAGCTACGGAACAAGGATGTTCCACTTACCAATTTTGATTTCCTTCCTCTGATTCCACTCACAAATACAACCTTAACCGCACCTCACATGATGAAACTCGTGCCACACCATCATCCACCATCCATTTTCATTTTTTATTCCAAAAACCACTAACCACATTTCAACCATAGTAAACTCACTTTAACCTCAAAAACCCTTACTATTTAAGTGGAAAAAAACCCTTACAAAGAGAAAACCACTTCATTTGGATCAAAATCAGAACCTCTAAACACTTTCACTCTCAAAAGTTTCCATTCTTTGAATCTCACTCATCAAGGGTTATTCCTCTCTTTTCTTGTTTCTGTCTTCCTCTCTGAGGGTTCTTGGAGCTAGAGGAAGAAGTTGTGGAAGGTTTGAGCAAGTTCAAAGGGTAACCGAGCTCTCCATTTAGTAAACTTTCTTCACCTTGGTTCTCTTGCATTTTACGTGTGTTTGAGCTTGTTTTCTTCATTTTCGAACATCTGAGATCATGTAGAATAAATTAGCACGCGTGTTTTTCTTGTTTACTTAAGTT